AAAAAAAAAAAAAAAAAAAAAAAAAAAAAAAAAAAGAGTTAAAAGGAATAAAAATCATTAGCTAGGAAATAAAAATATTATTCACCTGTATAGTTGAGCACTGCCACTTCCTTCCAAGAGCATCCTCTATTTTGAGGTCAATTTTGGGGCCATAAAAAGCACCACCACCTTCATCGATCTCATAACTCCAACCTTTGTCATCTAAAGCATTCTTAAGAGCAGATGTTGCTTTATCCCAAATATCGTCGCCTCCAACAAATTTCTCAGGTCTCGTTGAGAGGTTTACTTCATATTTATCGAAACCAAATTGGAGCAGTATTTCCTCCGTAAGATCCAGGACACCCCTGATTTCATCTTTAATTTGATCTTCCAGACAAAATATGTGTGCATCATCCTGTAAAATCATTAATGATTATTAAATATAAGCCTGTAGAATATTTAATCCAAGTCGAAAGTGCCAGTCAAAAGGTAGGGAACCGATTAGAGCAGCGGGACTCGAAATAAAACTAATAATATATGTGATGCATTTGAGAAAACTGTGCTATTCACAAAAGAAAATGAAATCAATATAATGCCATTCTATAAGCAATGGAAAAAGAACACTAACCTGGGTAAATCCCCTAACTCGGAAGAGGCCATGCAAACTTCCAGATAACTCGTATCTATATACAGTCCCAAGTTCTGCAACTCTGATAGGAAAATCTCTGTATGAGTGGAGCTTCCTTTTGTAAACTAATATGTGATAAGGACAATTCATTGGTCGAAGCTGGTAATGTTCATCTTCTATCTCCATTTGATCAAACATGCTCTCTTTGTAAAATTCAAGATGACCACTAATCTTCCAGAGATCTGCTCTTGCTACATGTGGAGTATAGAGCAAATCATAGCCGTTTTGTATGTGAACTTTTTTCCAGGAAGCTTCAATTATATGCCTTACGATAGCACCCTTGGGATGCCAAAAAACCAATCCCCCACCAGCCTCATCCTGCAGGTATTTATCTAAGATACAATGTGGCCTCAACAATTTCTTATCACGAGGATAAACGTGATCTTCGTTTGCTTTTTTTTTTTTTTTTTTCAAAAAACAACTCAAGAGAAAACTGAGATATTAAAAAAATGAATTCGCAGAGCTCACTATGTGTCATTTCTGCTATACGAATAGAAAATTTCCTCCGCAGATGATATGCAACTCCAGCATTTGCAGACTAAAGGCACTGAAGGATTTGAATTTTTCGCTAAGTGTGTTTTTAAGATACCAGCTAGAGTAGAAAAGGGAGATCATACACTTGTATAATTACTTTTTCAGTTCATTCGCATAATCATCTTTGCCACCAAGTCTCATTAATCTACGATCATTTGGAGAACATGTTTGATAAAGAAGAATCTTTCACATTGCATTATATACAAGTTAAGGTACTCAATTTCTTATCAAACAATAATGAGAATTGAAGTACTCGTGATGGAAAAAGAAAAAAGAAAAAGGATAGAAAGACGAGCGTACTCTAATAATAACATAAATGAAAATACCTGTATAGAAAAGAGATCAAGATCTTGACCAATTCGACGGTGGTCCCGCCTTTTAGCCTCCTCCTTGAAGTGGAGATAAGCTTTAAGTTGTTCCTCACTCTCCCATGCTGTACCGTATATTCTTTGCAGCATTGGCTTATCTGTGTCTCCTCGCCAGTAAGCCCCAGCAACTGACTCAAGCTCAACAGCTTTTCTATTGATATTGCCAGTAGATTCAACATGAGGCCCAGCACAAAGATCCCACCATTCATGACCTACAATGAGAAGGAAAAACCAGGAAGAGATTCAAGGAAGCATCAATTTGATATGCTCACTGTGAGAAGTTTTTTTTTAGTTATCATCAAAGGCATGTGTTCAATATCCATACCCACTAGTAAGAACTTCATAGAAACATTTTCTTCGGGAGCATAAACTAGTGGTTTAGTAGGCATAATCTTCTATAGCAGAAAAAAGAATCCAGACTTCACCTATGTGATAGATGGTGATAGGCTCCTCTTTAATGCCTTCTAAAATCTCCATTTTGTAGGGCTCATTGACAGCCATGATCCTTTTCTGGGCTTCGTCTCTGCTAACTTCTTCTCTGATTAAAGGCAAATTTTTACCAATAATTCGATCCTACAGATTTATTCAAGAAATAAATACTACCACCACGGAGAACCATGAAATAATGAACACTTGCAGTTTCATCCTAACCTGTTGTTTAAAGAACAAAACATAATTTTTTAGAAAGAAGCAGAATAAGAAAAAAGCAGACCATTTCTTTCTTAATTTTCTTAAGGTCCTTATCAGTGAGAGGCTCCATATCAAAGTCATAGTAGAAACCATGCTCAATCCAAGGACCAATGGTCACTTTTGCATCAGGATATATCTTTTGAACTGCCATGGCCATTACATGAGCACACTGCAATTAATGAACACTTATAATCAGATTGTCAATATTCAACCCAAGTTTCAATAATATTGACAAATCGGCATCCCAATAAATGAAACTGAAAACAGAAAAGGATGAACAAAAAAATTGATTGAGCTGTGTTCTTGCTATCGCCAGTTCCAAAAGTCGAGTGCTGCTTCCCAATTGCGTTCCCAGATTCCTTGATTAGAAGATACATAAACGAAAAAAAAAAAAAAAAAAGGTTTAAGCTTTACCGTGTGGCGAATCTTGAGGAGTCTCTCGGATGATTGGTTGGTGGGAAGGACGACTTTACCCTCGGCGGCGTCCCTATCGACGGGAGGCGGAGAAGCAGGCGTTTCCGCAATTTCAGTGGCGACGGGGGAAAAGCTGGCAAGGCGCAGCCCACGGCGGGGACGGTGATTGACGGCAGATGAGCAAACTGAGAAAACGCTAAGGTGGCAATGGTGAGATAACAAAGGAAGACTAATGTGATAAGGTAAGGTGCGAACACAGTGCTTGGGCAGCGACAAGGATAAAGCCATTAGAGTGGTTTTGTGAGCTACAAACATGGTCTCTGATCTCCCTCTTTTTCCTTTCGGTTTGGTGTTTGTGGTCGAGGGAGGCTCACTAATACAGTATTATCAATGATCTAGGCTCATACCATAATACTAAAATAGATTTGCAATGAAAATAATAATAATAATAATAATAAATGACTTAACCTAAAGATTTTCTGTAATGCCCTATTTTTTTATTTTTTTTATAAAAGAACATTTATTACATGTACTCTCAAATAATTTATTAACATGCATAACTAACTGATTTCTCATATTTTTAGGGTGTGATTGGTTGGGGTGATTGATTGGGCTTGATGTAATCAAGTAAGTTGGGGCCCAAGTGATAATTTGTATATTATACATTGTTTGGTTTGTGTTTTGGGTGGTTTGATAAGGGCCTCATTATATTATTAACCCATTTGGTTGGGAGGAAATGATCAATTTGAACATTTTTTAAACAACAAAAAGAAGATTATTTCCAATGTTGCCCTTGGCCCATAAAAACACCAGTAGGATTATTAAAAAAAAAAAATTAGTGCCTTCTCCTTCGACCCTTCTTCTTCGACATTCCTTCTTCGATGTTCTTGGAAACCCTCCCAACAGTGTGCGTTCAATAATTTGCAACGAAAGGGCAGGAAATACCCACGATTCCTTTTTCGTCTCATCCGGCGATTGAAAGGAGAGAAGGCCGTGTACCAACCAAATCCCAATCAGGTGAGCATAGGGTTTTCGATTGTTTATTTCAATCCACTCTATTGTGTGTTTAGTATTTGATTGGTTTTAAAATCTCAAAGTTCCAAATGTACGACCTTGTTTTTATAATTAAATTATTGGTTATTGTTGAAGATTATGACAACTCTTATTATGATCTCCTCTGGTTCTATGTTCTTTATTTGCTTCATGCAATTGTAAATTCGTATGCAATTGTAAGCATAGATAGTTTAGTGTTACTGCTGTGAACGTCGCTTTTTTTTGGTTCTGCAACTTGTTTTAACTGGTGCGAATGCAAAATGTTTGAATCATTGTATGAAAGATATTTGGTCTTGGTGAAAACCCCCATTTTGTGGATGTCATGTATTCTTTGTTTCTGTAATTACAACTTCAATGTCAACTGCAAACTTACGAGTTTATCCACTCTGTAGACTTTGAGAATGGCTGCCAAAAAACCTCAGACGCGCAACGATGCCATTTCAAAATTGTTTTGGACAGAGGGTTGGAACGAGGAAGAGGAGGGATTCTTAATTGAACATCTCCGACATGCAGCTCATAATGTATGTGTCAGCAACATTGTGATGTTTGACACATATCTTTGGTACATAACAGGCCTCTTAATCGATAAATTCAAGAAAATTTTCACAATTCGCATGGTGAAAGAAAGAGTTCAGAAATTAAAAAATCAGTATACCTTGTTCATGGAGTGGACACAGAACCCTGGTGTCTATCATAAGTCAAACGAAGATAGAGCATATGTGGATGGACTATACTGGAAAACACTTATGAAGGTGAAGTACTTTTTGCATTGTTAAGAATTTTGTTAGTATTGATAGATTCAGTTTTTGGTCTTTCATGTTCTTTGTGTTGTGTTTTGCAGGAGAACAAAGAGAGTAGATTTTTCAGAACCTATGGCATGAAACACTTTGCAACAGCGCACCTATTGTTCTATGTGAAGAATGCTGCGCCGATTGAGTTTAACCTGAAGACACCGAAGTTTAAAATAAAAAGGAAAATGTTTCTCCGAGAAACACCTAGTTATTACTCCTAGATTTCTTTTTCATCTTTTGTCTTTGAAATTCATTCCAAAGAAGAATGGAATAGAATATAGTAGTTAAGATTGGTGATATGCACGCTTTTTAATAGGCGGTCTGATGTACAGACTTTCAATTGGATATTCATGTTAATGATATTTTTTGGTTTTGATATCATCTATTATGGAATTTAAGTATCCTCTGGTATTACTGTAACGCCCCGACTGACTAATACATCAGAGTACGCGGTTTTTCGCAAATATTCTGAATAAATAAATAAATTAACTTTTTAATTTGCGAAAATGATTCGGGGGTTACCGTGAAAAACATGACTTTTGAAAACCGTTAGAATTTAAAACTGAAACGTGAAACGGTTATAATTTATTATCCGACCAACGTCGGAACAAAGTCTGAAGGTTTTAGCGGAAGTCTTAGCGTGGCAATAACATGAAAGTCTGATAAAAGTTCTGAAAAGTTTAATTATTCAACATCAAGTACATCAATCATCAAAATATCCTGAACAGCTCGCCCGCTCACTCCTCATCTCCGACCCTGCGACCTGAAAATCATGAAAATGTGGGGCGTGAGCACTAAGGCACTGTGCTCCGCAGAGACTCATGCTAATGTACAACATCGTAAATAATAACATGATCATGAACTGAGTATATATAACTGAACTGAACTGAAACTGATAACTGATACAACCGGTCTGATCTCGCGACCGAAGTCACGTAACTGATAACTGAATCTCGCAACATAAGTCGCGTAACTGATAACTGGAAATCTCCCGGCGAAACTAACACCGGACCATGTGCACACTCTAGTGGCTAGATCAGGCCACTAAAACCCAGGATGGACCGGCGACCACCCCGAGCGGTATCTGAATATACATACCTCGACCATGGTAACGTGATTATAAACCATGTAAATACTTAGTCTGAGTCCCCACCTGAATTTGCTGAAAACTTGAACTGATGGAAAGTGCTGATGCCTGATCAAACTGAAAATAATATAAACAATTACTATTGGCTATGCTCAGACTGATAAATTTAACTGATTAATTAGGTTAAGATGCTATTTCGAG